AAAAAACGTTATATAGATTTTATATCTGAAAAATAGAAATATTAATTACATGCACTGCTGATATATTACTGTTTTGTTATTGATTTTTATATGGTATAAATGAAACTATGAAATAGATACAAATTAATGTCTGTAATACTCATATTTTAGGACAAATATTGGGTATTTCCAAATCGGTGTTTATTGGTCTACATACTTTGAAATTTATTGGTTTGCATAATTTGTGGTGTGAAGTGATGAAACCAGTTTGATCGTTAGATAACAGATTTTCAGATAAATTACAGAAGAATGACACAATGGTTGGTTTTCTAGACTTACAGAAGTTGAGATATGACACTGGGTGAATCTCAGTACCAAGACCCCAAGGACCGTATTCGTGGTCTCAGCAAGACCAGTCTTGTTAACTTGCCTTCCAAGAACAAACTTGGGGCGCAATGAATCATGGGATTGGTCTTGTTTGGCAAGGATGCAACCAAAACATCCTTGATATCTGGGGCAGAGCAAGAACCGGGGATTTTTACCGTCCTCTGTTCTTGTGTTGTTGATGTTGGGACTGGTCTTCAGCAATGGAAGATGATATAACACAGCTACATGAGAACACAAGTACGGTCAAGTACGCATATTGAGATTCACCCAGTGCTGATCAGTAGTTTGTCTCTCAGTGTTACTCAGCTTTGCAGATTCACATTTTCTTATAACTGCTTGTGGAGATGCTGACTTTTGATGCACTTTCTCTCTGTGTCAGGTGACTGATGTTCAAGCAAGCATGGCATTGTTATCCTGGAGTGCCCCCGTCCCACCAGACAATGTGGACGGTGGCCTAGAGGTCCAAAATGAGCTCCGCAAAGCTCTGAGTTATGAGGTCATCATTTCCTGTGGGGATGAGAAGGATGGGATGTACCATGTGGTGTACAGGTAAGTCAGGACTCTGATAGTGGAATTGAAGATCCAACTGCTGATAATCCCAGCATTGTTGAGACGATGAATGAGTCAGGTTGAGATGAAAGCGAAGATTAAATAATGACTCATTGGCTGCTTATGCAGCTAATGGCTTTCCAAAAATAAGTTGCTTAATGCAGCTGCGTATTACGCTGGAGATGCCCCGTTCACAAGGCCGTCGCATGGATTTATGCCTTTGGTCACGATGCTGCTTTTCTCTTCTTCAGTGGAGTAATTCTGTGTTATTTCTGGTTAGAGGTGATGAACTAAGCTCGAATTTAGAAGAATTAAGACCAGCGACGGACTACAATGCAAGGTCTGCTTGTCATCTTCTCGTTGTTCCATGTTTTTGGTCGCTGTCGTTGGTCATGTTTGCTCATTGACGATCCCAGTCCCTCGACAAAGATCACCGTGCTTCCAAGAAACTCCAGCAGGCCAATGGTGTGTGTTCTGTCGCTGGCTCCTCTCAGGGTCCGCGCTGTATGTCGACATTTACGTGGTGATCCCTCAGAAGGTGTCACCTTTACCACTCTCAGCTGTGCCCCCGACACCCCCAGCGCCCCCTGGAGGACAGGTGGAACTAAGAGCACCATCACCTTGCAGTGGAAGGTGTTTTCTCATTTTGGAAACATAGCAATGGATAGAATGGCATTGGAATGGCTCGAACATCTTAAGTGATGGTAAAATTAATTCTCTGATTGCTTAGGCTCCTTCTGACAATGGTTCCAGAATCGACAACTACATGCTACAGTGGGATGAGGTACGATCTACTCCTTTGTGTAGTGTAACGTGTCCTACTCCAGACTCAGCTCATTCCAGGTATGTGTGGTCATGTTTGAAAACATTTGGGTGAAGAGCCATCCTTCCATTATAATACAGACGCTGTCCAAGTAACGATAGGGTTACGTTCCAATGCACCTGTCGTAAGGTGAAATTGCATTTTAATACAATACACTTAACCTAACAAACATCATTGCCTAGCCTACCTTAAACATGTTTAGAACACTTACATTAGCCTACAGTTGGGCAAAATTATTAACATAAAGCCTGTTTCATAATATAGTTTAGAGCAAGGGTCTCCAACTCCGGTCCTGGAGAGCTACTATCCAGTAGGTTTTCTATCCTACTTGGCTTCTGATGAGCCACGCCTGGCCCTCATCAGAATAATATGACTGAAAAATGTACGGAAAGCATAAAAAAAGAATTGAATTGTACAGGGACCACGGACCATCGTAACCCAGGGAGCATCAGTACCGGTGCTGAGGTCTTGTGATTGTTTTTGTGCAGGGGAAAGGAACAGAAGAATTTGAGCAGTGCTACTACGGACCAGAGGAAGAGTATCAAGTGTGTGATTTAATGCCTTCCTCAAGATACTGCTTTCGCATCGCAGCCAAAAACGAAAAGGGTTTGAGGTACTTTTGGGCCCCTGTTCATTTTAACCATGCAGTCTACCCATATGGAAAAAATATATTTACATATGTGCATATATTTGTCTTCTGTATGGGGAGACATCACATATATTTATGGTGCAGATCTCCAAATATGTACAACATATTGTAAATATCTGTGAGGCTAGATTGATTCAGGGCTTCTGGAGCAGCTCGTGGTGTTTCAGGTTTGTTTGTTGTGTGGTTTTTGTTTGTTAATATATCCATATGTGAGTCATGCATTATTGTATTTATGTTGCTTGTGAGCCTTCACCTAAGACAATTTTCTGTCATTATTGGTGACAGGCAATAAAGTTCATTGAATCTTTGAGTCTTGAATCTGGAGTCTTTCCATATGGAAGACAAAGATAAGTACACATGCAGCTCTCACAGAAAGGGTTTGGACGCTTGCTTAATTTCATAAAAATATTTATGTTAATTGTTTATTGGTTTCATAAAAAAAGTCTATTGACAAGCGATGTTTAACACATCTGCACATATCTTCTGCACAGACATTTTCTTTTTATTAAGTGTTTTTTTTTGACTGACTCATTCAGTGTTTCCCATTTTGCTATTAATTACAATCAGTCATTGGCTACCAAAGGGATACTAAACACACGTTTGGTGTTTTATGTTATTGCAAAGGTGTTAGTAATGAAAAAGCACCCAGTGAGACTGCTTGTCAATGAACATTTTAACTTGGAAGAGCTCTTTTAGGAGTAGTATTTATAAACACGAATGATGCAGTGGTTTTTATTATAAAACCAAAACTTTGCTATATTTTTACTGAAATAAGCAAGATTTTCTGTGAGCACTGTATCTGTCATCTATCTAAATATATGTAAAGTTAAAAAATAAAATTAAAATTTTTAATATTTAAATATATGTGAAATATATTGTAAACATATATGTCAAATATATGTCTAAATATATTTTTTTCCTATATGGCTGGAAATGCGCATGAGGCTTGACTGTCACAGACGTGCACCATCTCTCTTTGCATCCTGCATCTCGCATGTTTTTCCCTTCTTTACTCCCATTCCCACATTTTCCCTCCTCCTGCTGCAGCAGCTTCAGTGAAGTGGCTGAGATGTTCACCTCCGGGGGCGTGCCCAGTGCCCCCCCTGCTCCAGAGCTGACTAAGTCCGGAGCCAGCTGGCTGAGCTTACGGTGGCAGCCGTCTCCAGCTCCCCCCAGTGGGGACACTGTGAAGTACATCCTGGAGGTGGATGAAGGCGCCATGGTAGGCAGGCATTTTTTCAGCAGAAAACATTAGCATCTTCACTTACCTTGACCAAAACCTGCTAATGCTTATTAGCCTACCTAGGGGGTGTTCCACAAAGCAGGATTTCTCAGTTAGCTGGGTTAACTTAAGCTAGAAGTCATGATTGTCCAATAAGAATGCTCCTTACCTAAACCCTAAACTCTTATTGGACAATCATTACTTCTAGCTTAAGTTAACCCAGCAAATTGAGAAATCTTGTTTGTGGAACACCCCCCTGAACAGATTCCATGGAGATAAATAAAGAATAGCGATGCTTTATTGATCCCTGTGGGGAAATTATCTTGTTCTCCATGAGACACACATAGTGAGAGCTGGCCTGGGGGGTCACAGCAAGGGGACAATCACCTGATGGCACTCAGGGACCTGTGGGGGGGGGGGGGTTAAGGGTCTTGCTCATGGGCCCACAGATATGTAACTGCACTGATGAGGCTGGGCTCAAACCGGCAACCTTCTGACCACAAACACTGAGGCTGGGCCCACTGAGCGGCCCCCCCCCCCCCCCCCCCCCCAGGCTCCTGTCCTAATTTAGTAGCATAAGCAGAATCTTTGAAATTGCAGCACTTCCAATTGCCTAGCTGTAATGTCCTCCTTTATACATTTTTGCCATACTGATAAATGTAAAAGAGTATCTGCCCGTGTATACTTGTATGCATGCATATGTGTCAGAACATGATACTATTGCAACAGAATTGGACAAACAGTCTGTTTAAGTGGAAAACATTTATTACCTTTTTCCGTATTCAGGGATGTCATTTTCAGCCGAGATATGATGACTACAAAAGCAGCTGCACTATTGAAAACCTTCGGCAGAACGCAAAGTACAAGGTCAGGGTAAGTGAGCTGAGTTTGCTCTGGTCGGGAATCTCAGTTTCTGGGTCATTCTGCAATTTGCCAGCCCGTGTGTGAGGGAGGTGGCTGTGAGCCCGCAGACAGTAGGTTCACTGCCAGCAACTCAATGTCATTTACTTCCCACTGGTTTACTGGTTCACTGGCTAACCGAAGAAGAGGGGAGAGGGGAAGGCCGACCTGGGGCCCGTATCACGAAGCCGGATTTCTCGCTTAGATAACTCATCAAATTTATGATGCTCCGGTTTAAATGGACTTTCACTTACATTTATCCTGGACTACCTTAAATCTCACAAGTTGTCTAGCTCAGGGTTTCTCAACCCGGTCCTCGGGGACCACCAGACGGTCCACGTTTTTGCTCTCTCCCAATTCCCTGCCAATTGGGAGAGAGCAAAAACGTGGACCGTCTGGTGGTCCCCGAGGACTGGGTTGAGAAACCTTGGTCTAGCTGGCCTACATGCTTCTCATCCTACAGATGCTTCTCTCATCACGATAGTTGGACTTGCGACGTTCCAACTTCACGATGGTGCAATAGCGATGCACATTCCATAGTCGTCAAACTGGGAATTTTGATCTGTCCCGGAGCTAGAGACAGCAACTCCCATGTGGCCAGGCTTCAGGTCTCTGTAGAGATCTCAAGCGTAAACATCTCATACGGTGTTTGACAATATATGCCCTCTGTTGTTCTTTCTGTGTTTTAACCAAATATTTACTTATTCAGTGACAGTAGTTATTCAGTTACTTATTTATCATGTTTCTATTTGTCTTTTTGGTATTTTCAACCTACAATGGGTTTATCAGAATGTAACCACCATCGTGCGTCGAGGAGCATCTGTCATTCATTGAGCACAATTTCACTATTGGACATTTGATGACATTCACAGCTTTGGAGGGGGAAAAAAACCACTTTGCATTGCCTTGCTAATGGCCTGTACCTTCTACATCCAGGTGAGAGCTTATAACACAGAAGGCAAGAGTGACCCCAGCATGGTTTTGGAGTTTACCACCTGTCCGGGGTGTCCCGGGGGGCTTGCCGTGAGGGGTGCAGTGCTGCCCACCAGCTTCGGAGTGATCTGGGGTGAGCGTTTCTCTCTCACTTTTTGTTGCACTCCTCGCACACATGAGACTTGTTTTTCTCATGTTGTACAGACCAGGCATATCACATCAATAATCCTTAAGGGTTTGTGATGGATAATAATGGATGGAGGTAGATATGAGTACACAATCCGTCTTTCTAGAACCCCCCAACGATGATGGAGGATCAGTAGTTATCAAGTACGTGCTGGAAAAATCAGCGGACTTAAGTGGTACGTTTCTGTGTTGCCATCAAAATCCCCGAAAACATTGCTTTTTTAGCTCCTTAGCTAGTTTATGGTAAACCGTGTGTCCGCCATGCCCCCAGGTAACTCCTGGGAGCCAGTATATAGTGGGCCAGCTGTGGAGTATCAGCTTGAGGACTTGAAGCCTGGTGCCACCTACCAGGCAAGGGTCCACTGTGTCAGTGAAGCAGGCCGCAGTGAGGTAAACACCCGCCTCTGTCATGGCAGTCAGCGAATTGCCAGGCCATGGACCTATCTGACCGCTGCCCCTGCTTTCCGTTTTCATTTTTTGGGGCCTCTCGTCAGCCGTCAGACATCCTGCGCGTGCAGACCCCTGCAGTGCCCCCAGGGCCGTGTCTCCCGCCCAGGGTGGTAGGGAAGCCGAAGGCACGGGACGTCCAGCTCCGCTGGGGTGAGTCGCTCTACTCCAGCTCACGCTTTGTTCCGCTAAACCTCTGGAGGTGCTAAAGCTAAATCTGATCCCTGGATTAAATCTCCCAGGCCCACCGCATGAAGACGGGGGCAGCGCTGTGACCTGTTATACCTTGGAAATGGGATGCACGCATGACGAGGCGTATAGGGAGGTGTACCAGGGTCCCGAGCTGGACTGTACTGTCACCGGCCTGCTGCCGGCCACGTCTTACAGCTTCCGTCTGCAAGCGAGCAGCAAAGCTGGGGTGAGAGCTCCCTGCCCAGCTACAGGTGTCGCGTACAAATGGCCGCTCGCATGAATTGATCTTCGCTGTTGGCTTAGAGAAAAAAAAAATCATGTATTTTAGCAAACCTCAAGACTTTGGCGATATGGAATAGTTTCACAGCAGGGCTGCCAACTCTCACGCATCTGGCATGACACTTAGAAAAATCTCACGCGAGAAGAAGCTCACGCAAGTAAAATCTTACGGCAGATCTATATTATTCCATTAAAAACTTAAAATTAGCTACGTCAAAAGCGCTGGGGTAGTTTCAAAAAGTATGTAAAAGTATATTTCATACAAGTCAATAAAACTGTTACATACATATAAATGAGTCTGCAGGCTTGTCTTAAATTGAAAATCACACCATCCAAGCTGACCACAGCTGGCAACTCTGTCACAGGGACTTATATGCGGGAGCCTAATATTGCATTCGGCCCAATGGAAGGCATGTTGCTGTGTCAGAGGTTGACCTGCTAACACAGTGACTCCCAAATATGAAAACAGGGTTATGCCTGTCAAATCATTGTTCAGAGAACTTGTATTGAGAGTTTTTGAGGACATTTGAGCTCCGAACCGGATACTGGAAGAGAAATACAGCTTTTTATGGTCCTCTGTGTGTGTTTTAACAGTCTGGGCCGTACTCTGACTGCTGTGAGGTGATCACCGGACCATGTGCTCCAGAAGCAGGTAGAAACCCCCAGGCGATCTGCAGATCTCCTACCTGTGTACTGGTCAGCTGGGAGGTGAGCATTAGCATAGCTAATTATTATTAAGCAGTTTGCAAAAACATTGTTGCTTGTTTTGAAAATTCATATATTCTCTATTTTTTAATTCTGTTCAGTTAAATTTCAGTTATAAAACTGAAAGACAGACCACCGCTGTTGATGACTGACACCCGTGTGCATCCCTGCTAACAGAGTCCGCCCTGCAATGGTGCCCCGGTGACTGAGTTCCGTCTGGAGAGGGCCGTAGCTGACGGCAGCATGCACGTGTGCTACTCAGGACCTGGGACCATGCACGAGCTCAGGGGCCTGCAGCCGGCCACTACTTACTACTTCCGGGTTCAAGTAGGTGGCGCTAGTGCTGGCGATCGCATGTGTGAGTAGATGATTCAAGGTGCAGTGATGGAAGGAAAACGACCGTGGAGGGCAGTGAGGGGGCTCTACAGGGGCCAGTGTGTGACTCAGCAGGTTGGGATGCTGGGCCTTTGTCCAGAAGGTTGTTGGTTCAAATCCCAGGGTCCACAGAAGGATGTTACCATTGGGTCCCTGAGCAATGCCCTCAACCCCAGTTGTTTCAGGGGCTTAATCAGCTGTAAGTCATTTTGTATAAAAGTGCCTGCTAAATAAATCAAATGTAACCTTCTGCTGCTTCTCATTGGCTATAACAAGTGGTTGAAAGAGCACAGTAACCCTGAGAATGAGCTGCACATGAGTATGAGACCTCATTGCCTTTGTTCCCATAACCCTCAGATCTCATTGAGTGTAGTTAAAAAGAAGAAATTACGAAAAGATGTTTAAGATGGCGGAGCTAAGAGCAGGACGTCATGTACATGCAGGCGGTGAACGCGATGGGCGCCGGCCCCTTCAGCGAAGCCACACCCTGCCAGACCCCCAGCTCAGTGCCCGCGGCTGTCGGCAGCATCCAGGCCCTAAGCGAACCAGAGCTGCTGAAGGACCCGGGACCAGACGCGGTTTACTGCCCTTCCTCCTGCCTGGGTCTGCGGTGGGAGGCGCCCTGTGAGCACGGTGCAGAGATCATCTCCTACATCATCGACCTTGGTGAGCGTCAGCCCATCCAGGTGGGACGCATCACGAGATACATCATCCAGCACCTGCAGCCCGACACTTCCTATAAGTGAGTATCCACCCCCCCCCCCCCCAGTACTGTACAGATGTCTCAGGCAGTCACAGGTAATGTTTAAGGTTATTTATCTGGGTAGTAAATGATTTGTTTGTTAAGGAATAAACACACAATTTAACACCAGAACATCTGCAAATTACCAGTAACTCAATTAAAATAACAAGAATTTCTTCTGTTTTCCAAAAAGTTACCAGTGTCTTGTTGGATGGTTAGTTTTCCTAATGGGAAATTTCACCACCAGCTCAATTAATTAATGTAATAATTAGTTAAATAAATGAATGAGATATTGAAAATTAGATTTTGTTCCGTTCACTGCCTATTTCTAACTGAAATTTTGACCAAGTACCTTCCTCAAGGGTACAACAGCTATTGGCAAACTGGCAGCCATTGATAAAGGTTCTCTTGCCCCTCCGGAACATCAGGATACGCATCCAGGCCCTAAACAGCCTAGGTGCTGGCCCCTTCAGCCCCACGGTGAAGATGAGGACCAGGCCCCGCCCCCCGCAGCCACCGCGCCTCGAGTGTATCGCCTTCAGCCATCAAACGCTCAGGCTGAAGTGGAGCGAGGGCTGTATCCGGGCTGCCCAGTCAGAAGTCCTGCAGTACCAGCTCCAGATGCAGGACAGGAACGGCAGGTGAGCCCGGAGCAGCCACTACCTCCTCTCTCTTATTAGCAATTTCTGAAACTCTGCAATCTGAAAAATTATGCATAGTTTGCTTAATCGGAATATCCCACCACTGGCAGTTCCTGGGATAAGAACATCCGACTTACGGACAACCCATCCTTATGAACAGGCTTAGAGTGAAAAGTTAGAGTGAAATGCAGTGGTTTATAATAGCAAAGGCACGCACTACTTTGTGGTGCTCGTGAAAATATTACACGGCTTCAGTGGTTCGTCGGCTCACCATACAGTATAGTACCGTATGTAGTTACTTTTATTATTGCTGTATAATTATCCTCATTATTCTGTACTGTATTATTATTTTTCCAATTTACCTACAAATTTGACTTAAACACAGACTTGTGTTACTGTCAGGATTGAGGAAAAAATGCCTATCAAACACAAGAATCTCCACCTGTCCAGTGCCTGTATTGCTTTTCACAGAGACCATAAATAGGACGATTTAACTTCCAAATCTGAAACCCAGATATGACAAGTAGGTGTAGGTTAAGACTGAGATAAGACCGGTCTGTAAGGTTCTGCCTCCTCATGAAAATTCACTAAAATGCCTCTGCATCAGAACTGTTTCAGACGACAGTAACAGTTCAGGCAGTTCATTCAATCAATCGATTGATCAGGGAATCAATAATTATTTATATGGCACTCTTGTAACCACAGGGTTTACAAAGTGCTTAACAGAATGAGATTAAAATAAGCATACACAGAAAAATAGAATTAAAAATATAGATATTAATTAAATTAAAAATTGACGTGTGTGACCACAGCAAAGAGTCCATGTAGAATCATCCCTTTTCCGCTTTTTGCCTGTATAGGTTCATTTGCTTGTACAGGGGCCCATGCCACACTCATAAAGTGCAGAGGCTGGTCGAGTCTACCTCTTATAACTTTCGCATCCAAGCTTTCAATGATGGAGGAGAAGGCCCTTTCTCCGATGTCTACACGTTTACCACCTTGTGCTGCCCCCCTGCCCCTCCCAAAGGTAGAAACTCTTTGTGGCTAATATCTCTCTTCATTCTCTCTCTTTCGGCTTTGAAATCACAGGCCTTTCTTCCCAATAATGCAAAAGTCTAAGTCAGTTTTTCCCAACTCGGTCCTTGGGGACCTGTAGTCGGTTCATGTTTTTGCTCCCTCCCAAACAGTTCACATTTTTGCTCCTTTCCTAACAATGTAAAATTTGGCAAGTCGGCGACTATTAATGTAAAAGTCTGTGGGTCCTCGAGCACTGGGTTGGGAAACACTGGTCTAAATCATTGAATTGTGGTGTCCATGTTTTTCAACGGATTTCCTGTATTTGTCCTGCATCTTCCCAGCCCCACGACTAGAGCGTCTGGATGATTACACCTGTGATGTCAGCTGGGAGGCTGTGCCCCTCATGAATGGGGATCACATTATGTACACGCTGCAGTGCATGCTGGGAAACACAGAGTTCAAACAGGTAATATAGGTGAAGAGCTCCTGTGTTACTGTCAGGATTGAGGAAAAAATGCCTATCAAACACAAGAATCCCCAGGCGGGGTCTCATGATGATAAGGCTTATACCGTCATGTTCTGTGTACTGTAATTATAGTATAATTCACTGTTTGGCAAGGGTATTAGATACCCAGATCTCAGCATAAGAATTGTCTCCTCTTATCTCTCAGTGCTCCACCATCCTATGCCCAAACATCTTATTTCTGGAAGCGACCAGAAGTTGAGTGTGTTTTTGCACCACGCACCGCCTGATTGGGTTAGAAATGAGCCCAGTTGGGCTGTTTTGTTCACACAGTGACTGAGATTCCCATGACTGCATGGCGCTAAATCAAAGGAGGGGGCCGGTGAAATAAGCCCATTTAGAACTCTGTCCACCAGGGAGAGACTGAATTGACCTGTCACCTCACGGTGGAACGTGCTCCCAGTGGCACCAAGCTAAGCACATGAATCCTCCCTTTATGGGTGCAAGAGTGAGTCTGAGTGCATCTTAATGTGTTTATCACACAAAGGACACTATGTGTCGTAAATCACCTGCCTTGAGTACACATAGGTTACACTAACCTAATCCAAGGGTCAGCCATAAGATTCGGCACATAGATTATTGAAAAAGCCATGCCTTAACCCTAATGCTATATGTACCATACTCTGTCTGGTCTTTTCCTAACATCCTCAGTCATACCCTAGTATGATCTGCTCTGATTTGCTATGCTGTGCTTAACTCAGTCCTATCGTGTCTTGTCCTATCCCGTCCTGCTCATTACCCCATCATGCCTTGACCTTTTCTGCTTTTTTTCTGTCCTATCCTGCGTGAGTATGTCTGTTCTAATCATTCTCTCTCATCTTGTCCCAATGGGACAACATTCCTTATCATTCTGTGTCTTAGGGTTGTAATGGGGTGGAGAATTTCTGGAAACTTTCCATTCCATGGGAAGTTAAGCTGGGGAATTTTGGAAATATTCCAAGTTGGAAACTTTCCATGGGAATTAATAGGAATATATAGGAATTAATGGGAAAATTGCCAGAATTTTGCAACCCTAGTGACAGTGACTTTTCTAATGTTGCTGCAACTCGGTCTTGGTGTGATCATTCTATCACACACAAATAAGATAATGTCATGTCATGGGTTTCGCTGAGTTATAGATTGCAAACACCCACCTATGGATGCTGTTTTTATCAATGGAAATGGGGAAGATGTGTGGCTCAGCAGGATCGGACGCTATGTCTGTGATCGGAAGGTTGCCAGCACACATCCTAGGGTTGGCAGAGTGATTTCACCAGCGGGGCCCTTGAACAAGGCCGTTAAGTCCCTGGTTGGGCAAGATTTGGTTGCACGGTTGCTATGGTGAAACATTTAAGCATCAATCTGCCAAGCGAAAGAATTGCACAGCTGCTTAAAACTGCAAAAAAAAAAAACTCCTGAGATATAATTTTACTTCTTTCAAGTATATCAGCCGCACAGTAATGATTTACTACAGATCTAAATTTTTAGCTTTTGTGAAAAAAAGGTGGGGTTGTCTCTCGCGATTCGCTGCATGGATTTTCAGATCACGTTTCAGCAGCTGTTCATATAATTCCATTTCTTGGTGCAAATCTTGCTCTGCCCAGGTCTACAGGGGATCCGCGACATCCTATCGAGCCACAGGTCTGCACCCCAGCAATGAGTATCGCTTCAGGGTTGGCGCCATCCGGCAGTGCAGCTCACCACCTGACCTGTCAGGGCCATACAGCAGCATCGTCATGCTCTTACCCCTTTGCGTTGAGGGGGCTGCGGATGCCGGCATCGGCGGGACAGAGGCGGGTGAGGCCGGCTGTAGCCTGACGGACGAGCAGTGTGCCGCCTTAATCTTGGCGCTGTTTGCCGTTACCTCCATCCTCATCGCTGTCGTCATCCAGCATTTTGTCATCAAGTGAGGCCTGTCTGACCACAGACCATCCGCCTTCACATTGATCCCGCATCCCTTTCTTCCCCATGAACCCTGTACTCAGTGGTTCGCGAGATACAAACAGGACAGAAACAGCTAGAGCATTAAATCCTAGAAAAGTCAACGCAGTTTTGAAACTTTAATGTGCTGTTGTGCCGTCGTCGTCAACCTTCCGGTGCTGCTGTAGCTATATTAATTTCCATTTTTATTTTCATTTGGTCATTACCTAAGAGTAAAGCGGAGATTCAACTAGATTATTTGATCTTATATTCCAAGTTTAAGAAGCTACAGCAGTCAGTTGTACAATAGGCTTTCTGCCTTAGTCTTTATAGAAGAAAATAATAATAATATTTCAAACTTGTGATAAAGTACGTTTGCACTGTCTGCAGATGCTGAGCATCTGACACGGAATCCTGTTGATTATGTTGCTGTAAACCATGGTTATGTTAATGCCGTGTAAGCAACAAAATGCGAACCAATTTTATGACTAAATAAACTACAGCTGTAGCGGATCACAAATCCAGAATAATTAGCCGCGATAAATCTCACAATAAATTTGTCACGTTTTAAGTCTTATGACATGTTGCCATGCTATATATTGATTGTGGGAAATATTAAGGATTTGTTTTACCTCATTTGATTTGGATTCATAACCATCCAGTTTTAAAGCACCTAAGATTTATTTATTTATAATTACTTACTCTTTCACTTCATGTTCACGGAATTACCTGAATATTCTATTTTTAAATTAAAATTTTTAAATTAAAATACCTTATTTTTTTAATATATTTTCAGTTCTATATATACACTCTGTGTATGTATATGTGTGTGTAATTTTTAGTACAAAATGCCAAAAGTCATTAACAACTGAAGTAACACCTGTCATCACCTGTTTAGCTTTTCCTGAAATTTAATGTTTAATATCTATGACAGATTCAGCCAGACTCATTGCTGTTTATTATATGAGCTCATAAGGTAATTGTGACTAATATATACTATATAGTCACCACTACCTTTTAACTATATAGACAAAGTATGGCATTTAGTATTTAGGGATTAACTGTAGAAATAAATTTTAATTGGATCGACTGCAGCATTTGCTCCTGTTTTCAAGGGAAAAAAATATTTTTGATAGTGACTAAATGTAATTGTTAAATGTGACATTTGAAAATTTGGAATATAGTTTAGAAATCATGCTTAGTAAAAGAGTAAATCGTCAGGGTGTACAGTACTGCGCAGAAGTCATTGGTAGTCAAAGAAAATGTTTAAGTCTATTTATCATGGTAGTAAGTAACACAAATTTTAACATTAGAACATTAACAATTAAAAATAAATAAAAAATGCTTCCGTTCCCAAACCCGTCCTGGGGGGCGCCGCTGTCATTCCATTTATTAAATTTCACAATCAGCTCAATTAATTAATTAATTATATTATATTCGTTAAATAGCTCACGGGGTATTGATTAGACAAACAAGGCATGTGAGTAGCCAAGTGAAAAACACTTGGGCATGTTACATAGTTACTGCAAATGCCAGTGTGACTTTACAAGAGAAATTATTAAGCTGACATCATACTTTTACACCAACCTGACGATCTTTTAAGTACCATTTTCTTTGGTTACCTGAGACTTTTTGCACATTACTGTAAGTCACCATTCTTCTATGGTTTTAATGTGGGATAATGTGTCTCTTTGTCTTGTACATTCCACAACGAAGGCTACAGAGTAAATCATTGTGATTTTGTGCACCGTCGCTGTAGGCTGGCATAGCTGATGTGATAATCTTATAGACATCATATCAAATGGATGATCTATGCACAATAAAAGCAGATTCTTATTTGTGTGTGATGCACTCTCGTGGTTTATGTAACGTACCGTCTTGTGAGCTTTGCTGTCGTAAATACTCTTGCCACAAATTAAATGACAAGCGAATTCAAAATTGCAGCAAATCCTGGACTTGTTCATATGTTCACCTCAAACTTATATCTACTGTATTTGCGATAAAGATAAATCGCTCAGTTTACAAAATGGCTTCTTCCATTTCTTTAGCTAAATAGTCTATATTTTGGTCAAGTACCTGCTCAGTAGTATGTTTTCTCACCGTCTTTAAGAAACACGGGATAATAAACCAATAAGTCTTGCATGGTCTCGGGCCATAAAAACTGCACATGAAGTAAAGAAACAATCTGAAGAAAGATTTGGGCTGTGCATACAGCAGGGATCCCCAGTTAAAGGGCCGGAATCCAACACAGTTTGCGGATTTCCTTGTTCAAGCACACCTACAATGCCTGGCAATTAGCTGATTATTATCTTTATTATTAATTCTATGTCCCTGTTAGGGGCAGCATGGCGGTGCAGTGTTTAGCGCTGTCACCTGACACCTGGAACCAGGGTTTGGGTCTCGACCACGGCTCCGTGTGTGTGGAGTTTGCATGTTGTCGCCGTGGGGTTTCCACTGGGTACTCTGGTTTCCCCCCCACAGTCTGAAAGCATGTTGAGGTTAATCAGAGTTAACGAACTGTGACTGGTGTGTGAGTGTGCCATGTGATAGCATGGTGCCCCATCCTGCGTTGATCCCTGCCTTGCACCCATAGCTTCTAGGATAGGAGCACCCATGACCCTGAACAGGACAAGTGATTACAGAAGATGTCTGGATTTTGATGCTAGGCAACACGCCATTTAGAGATACCCTGCCATGTGATTTGACCTACCTACCCTCAGATCCACAATCTAACATAGATATTCAACACAACTGGTTACCCTCCCCCAGTCCTCCTCACCCAATAGCTGAATGAACCTTAAATACCCTTTACCCTTCCCTGTGCCTCATTTAACATTGTCTTCTGGACCACAATGTTGGTTTCTGTTCTGTCCCGTCAAAGTTTTCTCATGATCTGCCCAATCAGTGATCATGGTTTTTAGAATCTTTCTGCTTTTCAATAAATATCTCCACATACCGACCTCCAACAGGAAACCTTTTCAAATGTGAGAGACTCGTATCATTTCTTTGCACTAATTATCTAAAGCCAGACTGGGTTGACTCTGCATCCCCAAATTTGTCTTGTAGGCCATTTCTAAACTTTTCATGTTTTATATTTCACCTCAATGCAGCACTCAGAGGAAAGTGATGCCTGTTTTGTTGCCCTGCGATAAATATGTGAGAATCTAATGATTTAGCTATTGCTTGGGGAAATTAGTTTTTTCCCCCACATTATTTAATTCTTATCTGTTACCGTGATAATCAAGTGTGCAGCATTTGCTTGACTTTATGTGATTACAGCATTTTCCCTGCTGCGGCAAGACTTGCACCTTGACAGCGTTAAGATCTGATACACAATGTTTATTGTTTAATTAATCTAGAAACATCTGCAAGTGGGATCCAGGCGGACACTGTTTTTCAAGTTTATGAAACACCTAATTAAACTGTCATGACTCATAAATTTGGTTCATTGGGGAATTATGTGTCTTCATGTTTGTATGTGTGTGTGTGTGTGTGTGTAGTCTGTAATCTAGCAGGACTAGAGAGGTTAATTTAAAGGCTTTAAACTTTATTCAAACTCTTATCCAAAGCAACATACAACCAAGGTCTTATAATTTATGCATAATTCTTGGGAATTAAACCCAGACTCTTCACGCTGTTAGCACAATGCTGTACTTATTGAGCTACAAGAGAATATGTATAAATATTGCCGGCAACTTTCTATAGCACTTTTACTCTGCTCTCAAAACTTTTTCCTCTGTTAGTACAACAGCTTAACCTGTGATCTGGTCCTTCAATACAAAATACTTTTTGTTTAGGATAGGTGAATTAAAGTTTCCTATTTACAGAAAATCTGCACCAAGGTATCAGTGCAGACCTAATGCTGCAATAACAGTGAGAATAAGGGTGAGTTTATCCAAAACCAGTCAGAACTGGCTGCTGTAGTAACACATTAGACTAATTACTTAAGTATGAAATAAAATTGCGAAATGTAAAGTGAATTGCATTACAGCTCATGTCAGTTCATATGTGCTATTAGACTTGTTTGTGTTTTGTTGTATTGCTGGTTCTTTTAAAAAAAAAAAAATCTAAACTCTTAATCATCTTGAAGTGTTGGAATCCTGTCCACCCAACTGAGTTTCACTCATCTTAAGAGAACGCCTTGTGATTGACAATTATAAAGATTTTCTTAGAATATACAGACTTTCCTCCACTTCCACTAAGCATTGAGCTATTCTTTGTGGCGCTGGCTCAACGCACTTCCTGTTTTGAGTCTCCACACCTGCCTCATCGCCTCTGCTTTTCACTAACGGGAAACGGCGCTGGTGCTGCTTGTTCAGAGGAAAGTGACTTCCTGAAGACAACATCTGCGAGCGGCTGAATCGTCTTCCAGTCTCTTCTGACGACAGCTTATGTCAAACAGGATGTAAACTTTGCTCAGTCTTATCTCCCCGCAGCCTCCGCTGCAGCCTTCCGTCCGCCTCACAAAGTGCGGAGCGCATGAGTGCTGCGGAAAAACGCGGCTTGAATCATAAATGGCCGAGTCTGCCTGCAATTTGTGACGGGAAATGCGGGAATCGCGTATACAGTTGTGCAAACACAAATATTCACCGTCAGATGGGCACTGCGAGTCATGCAGAGACACAATTAAATGCGGGTTTAAAACCAGGTTAGCAAATTAAACAAGCAACAGTGTTCAATATAGTTGCCGAAACTGTGGAAACACTTCCAGTTTTTAGAGATTGCAGAACTTTATTCCAGTAACTGCAGTTATTTAATCGTCCATTGTATGATATTTGTAAACATTCTTTAATTAGTTATAACCATTACCCTTAGTATTCGTGTAGTGCCTAAAAAAGCGTAATGCCAAAAAAATGCTGGGTGTTTCCACAATTCTGGCCACTAGTGTAGACTTCTATGTCGTGGCCACATCTGGAAGTTGCGCAGTAAGATCATGCCTCACTAGGTAGGCTATATTAATATAATGGAAATAAATACAAGGAGTATTTATCTCTACATAGTTAAATGTGTACGTGTTTACTTGCTACCATGAAATGAAACAAAACGAGGATTCAACCGGCATCCAGTTGAACAGGCTGTCATAAGACTTGTGACATGTGTGTAAGTGAGACAGATGGGCGGCTTGCTGCCGGACTGGCTGCCGATAAGGCGGAGAGGAGGGTGTGTTTGCATCTGCAAGTCCTGCGGCTGTAAGACGGGCAAAGACAGAGCAGGAACTACACAGTATTAAAGGAATTATTCAGATTTTCTGTGCAAACAACGAAAGTTTGGGGTATAAAGTCTCCGGACGGCCGGAGTGGAGGATGGAGGTAATAAGCTTTTTATTAACTTGTATGTTTAAGGGATGTATGAATTATGTATGTATGTATGTATGTATGTATGGTTGCGGGTTTCGCTTTCAGCTCTCTGTATAACTTTGACAGATACTTTCTGATCCCCTGTCCGATCTGCTGAAGTCTTTCATATCTTAGGCTGTATAGGTGTCTAACACTCGCAGGTGGTAGTACGAAACTTTTTTTCTCTTTTCGAAGAAGTGCGGAGATATTTCCTGTTACTTACTCCCTGCGTTCAAGCACCTTGCATTTTATATTCTTTGAATAGAAAGTTTTGTCATGACAGCATTAAATTTAGAACCCAGTGGAAATTTGCCTGGGCTTATTTACTTATTTTAGCGCCCTGTTTATTATTGCGTGCTGAAGACTCCTTAACCATAACCTAGGCTCCCCATACTTATGTAAACTGCGGGTCACGGGCTCCTGCTGCAGTTTAAACACCACCTAAAAGGTTTAATATATTACGGAACATGTTCATCGGTAAGCTATAGTTAAGAAAGTAAATAAATTTTATTTAAAAAAAAAATACTTCAAATCCATATTTTCTGTATGAACATGCCTGGAAAAGCTGTAATATTTACAGCTTAGTATCTAATAATATTCAGCTGGTGGAAACTGATGAGTCAGACAAGAACTAAAACTTCCTATTTTTACTAATTTGGATCTCCTGGTTTCTAGCATTTTTAGTGAGGACGAAGGACACAAATACGCGTGTGTCTCGACAAGCACCGTAGCTGTTCTTTTAAAAAGACTGATGCAAAAAAAATCAAGTTGTATTCTTTTCCCTTATGAGGTCTAACTTGCTCAGTGTTTAGTTATACTGGTAGGCGGGGTCTTTAATAATATAATGTAGGAAATGGAGTGTTTATAAAATCATGCAGGCCGGACGATAAAGGCCTATTCTAAATAGGAATATACAGCTTTTCCCTGTGTCGTCTGGAAACTAAACGGGAAGCAAAACAAAATAATAATAATAATAATAATAAATTGACATTAAAATCTGTGGACCTTATCTTAATAGTACCGTGCAGCTGGTTGTGGGTGAGTATTAAGTAATCAAGCTTAGCTATCCAGTGACTCCACTAAAACACATCACTACTACCTCCAAAACTAAGTGATTTATCTCTGTCTGCTTTTTGTTTTTCAATCAGGAATCCTTAGTCGTTATTTAGTCAAGACATGGGCCATACAAGTATGAGCTGATGGTTTTGTTTAGACAGTAATGTGAGATACACACATGGTTTCTGCATGCTGACAGCCAGCGGTACATTAAAGAATAACAAAATGCCGGAGCTGCAGGTAATACAGACAGTACATAACACAAAATAATAAACACTCACAAAAACATCGAACATGTGATTGGTGTACAAGTAGCCAGTAGGTTGATCTTCAGTGTAATTATATTGAGTAGCCTTAGGGTTTGTAGGTACTGTACACTGTCAGAAAAAAAGCCCTACTACAGTTTTGTTCCCCAAGGTACAAACAACATTAATCTACCCCCAATGTTCTTCAGGGCCCATTCTGTACCTTCAAAGGTACATTTACACACAGCTAAAGTACCCCTGGCAGACCCTTGAGGGTACAGCCCCAGTGACAAGTAATCGTGCCCTCAAAGGTACAGATCGGCACTTTTTTTCTGACAGTGTGCTTCGAGTGCTGATGTTTCTGTGCCGTCTCCCTGCAGGGAGGCGAGGGAAAAGTGGCTGAGCTGGGAATCGCAGCCCTTATTAATGTCACCTGCTCTTCAGGGGCAGTGGGAGGTGACAGTGTCCTGAAGTGAGGCCACATATGTCCTGGTGATGGTTTGAGAAGGCTTCACCACCTTCTGCTGTGATCTCTGTGCAGTTTCCACATCACGATGTAATGCATCCAGTGTGGACAGAGTCCATCACACATCTGTAGAGGTTGGTGATGGTCATATCATCCCAAATTTCCTCAGCCTTCCTAACCACTGTACCAAAGACCTGAATTCCGATGTGGAATTCAGCAGAGTGATGTCAGCCTCGGTCTCTGCTGTACCTGACAGACGGTATATTTCTTGTGGCTGTGAGGATCCTTTGACTTAAATCTGTGTTTTTTGAAACATCTTTCACAAGCATGGGAGGTGGTGTGTGGTTCACTGGGTTAGGATTAAATCCCTGAGTCAGCAGAGTGATGTTGGCACAGGGCATCCGAGCCTGACCCCTAACCCCCGGCGATTCTCTGACCCCGCATAATTAAAAAATGTGTGTTGTTTTGGATAAAAAAAGTTTGCTCAATAAAAATGTAATGCAGAATAGATTGACTCACCTCACTCAATGGCAGTAGCAAAGTGCAAAAATCAGCGGAATATGGCCATGGTTGTGACTTGTCCAGGTGCTTAAAGGCAGAGTCCTCCTGTGAGTGACATTTTGTGATTATTTTAATTTTAAGCTTCAAATACAAAGATTTAATTTACTGGCTTATTTAAATGCATTTGTGATTTGATGTGTCACAGTGGAGGGGACACACCTATCTGTGCAACCATAAATGACTTGTATACTGAAATGGAGGTAACTTTACAGTATGTGTCCCTGTGTGTGTGTGTGTGTGTGAGAGAGAGAGAGAGAGAGAGTGTGAGAGAGAGAGAGAGAGAGAGACTTTGACTTTTAACCCCCCTTTATTTATGCATCATTAATAACACAGGCACAATCACCAGTTCACATGTAGCACACCTGTTTGAACAGAAACAAAGTCTGCATTAACACACCACTTCTTCTCAAAAGCAGTCACATTATTTGTGCTTTCATAAAACACAAACTCAGCTCTTATACGAGTTTCCACCAGAGCTTTGAACAGCCGAATCAGATCTGTATCCTGCCCCTCCGACTTCAGTCTGAAAGACTTCCACACAGCCAGCTTCGCCTGCCCCACTAAAAAATTAACCAAGACGCACCTAGAGCGGTGAGTCTTAGAGTATTTACAGCCGAAGACAAACACAATCACGTTAAAACACAGGTTGAAACCTCTCAGAACTCGGCTCAGGAGCTGGAAGAGTGGGAGCAGTCTAGGACAATCAGAAAAAGCATGTACCACAGTATCAACATTATGACAGAAAACACAAAAAGGGGTCACATCAGGGTTGAATTTTGACACGAAAGCATTAGTACCCAACACACAGTGCAGGATCCTCCACTGCAGGTCTCCCGAGCGCTTGGGTAAAGGAGCTTTATAAAAGAGTCTCCAGGAAGGCCGTAGGCCCTCAGGAACAGAGAGGTGAAACCTCCACCTGGTATCAGGCCTACCTCTCAATTCATTAAAAACCAGGGATCTCAAACAGCTCTGGTACAACACCGTTTTACCGGCTTCCGAAAAGGCCACGCCCTGCAGCCCCCTAAATGAGAGGAGGTGCCCCTCAGCGCCTAAACTGGCAACAAACGGGGTGATCTGCAGTTCTGGGAAGGGGACACACGCAGAATTACCGGACAGAGTACCACTAATAAACCCCATTAAAACCGGGGAAAAGGAAGATCTGAGCTTGCCAATTATACTCTGCACCGTTCTTTCAGATCGCATCCCAACCCGAGCCGTTAGCACCACCTCTGAACGCCACTGGCCCGTGCCCAGATCTATCAGATCCCTGACTGTCGTCACCCCTGCTCGAGCAAAGGCAGATACTGTGCTAATACAGAAATTGGTCTGTCGTGAAAAATAGACATGTAAAGGTTCATCCAACCCATAGTGAGCCTCATCTTTCCTCACCGCATGCAGCAGCCCCCATGCCTTAAGCACCGAGCCATAGAACCCAGCCACTGCTATCCCGTTCATGGCACCCTGGCCCAGTAAAAAAAGCTGTCTATCATAGCCAAGTCCACTAAGGGACCTGAGAGCAGCCAACCCAAAATGTACCCATGGGGGGGGGGCCTCTTGGAAGAGCAGCTTCTGTGCCGCCAGCAGTCTCATGGCCTTCACCTTAGCAGGAACGTTTATCAGCCCCTGGCCCCCCTCAGCCAGGGGCAGATGTAAGACACCAGGCGGCAGCCAATGATACCCATCCCAAAAGAAGTTCACAAAGAGCCTCTGAACGTTCTGAAGCAGCCCCACTGGGGGGTCCAGCACAGTCAATCGATGCCACAGCATAGAAGCTGCCAAGTTGTTCACCACAAGCACCCGCCCCCGATAGGAGAGCTGGGAAGAAAGGCTCCTCCACCTGTGAAGTCGCCCTTTTATTTGGTCCAGCACCCCTTCCCAGTTCTTCTGCATGTACAAAGCAGTACCTAAAAACACACCAAGAACCCTAAGCCCTGTCGTATTCCAAACACACAGCTGCGGGAGTTGAGGGACGCTGTTCCGGGGCCATTTCCCCACCAGTAGTGCATCGCTTTTATTCCAATTGAGTTTCGCTGATGACGCTCTCTGGAACAAATCAAGGCACTCCATCGTGCCTGAAATGTCCTCGTTAGACCTGATGACCACCGTGATGTCGTCAGCATATGCCGACAGCTTAACTGTGACCTCCTCACCCATCCCGGGACCGTGTACCGATAGGCCAGTAAGCTTCCTCCGCAACATGGCCAAGAGTGGTTCAGCTGCGATGGTGTACAGGAGCCCAGAGAGGCCGCAACCTTGACGTATTCCTCTGGTTACAGGGAAGGGCCTCGTGAGCCTCCCATTAATGTTCAGCAGACTATAAACATCAGTATATAGCAGCCTTACATATGAAAGAAACTGTGGCCCAAAGCCAAAGCCTTTCAATGTCCTCAAAAGAAAAGCATGATCAACTCTATCAAAAGCTTTCTCCTGATCGAGAGACAGCAGTCCCATGTTAAGCTTTCGCTCATCAACATATGAAAGTAAATCTCTCAACAGATAAAGATTGTCAAAAATAGAGCGACTTGGCACACAAAATGATTGATCATGATGAACTACGGTGCCTAAGCATTGTTTTAATCGGTTCGTCAGCACCTTGGACAAAATCTTATAATCCACACCCAGCAAGGAAACCGGGCGCCAGTTCTTTAAGTGTCCAAGGTCCCCCTTTTTGGGGAGCAAGGTGATTACAGCCCTCCGGCAACTAAGCGGCAGGAGACCAGCGCCTGTACACTCCAGGAAAACAGCATGCAGGTCCGGGCCAACCGTACCCCAAAATGCTTTATAAAACTCTGCCGTTAGTCCATCTAGCCCTGGGGATTTGCCATCAGACTGTCCCCAAGCGGCAGCAGTGACCTCATCAAACCCCAAGCTACGTTCCAACTCTAGCTTATCCTGCTCAGGTAGCTGCGGCAGGTCCTGAAGGAGGCAAGCTGCTGCACCCTCATCGCAGTCCTCCGCCGTGTAAAGATCTTCATAAAAAGACAGTGCCGTAGCTATAATTCCCTGTCTGTCCGTAATCTCCTTGCCATCAGGCAGTTTCAGATGGCTTAGGACCTTTTTTTCTCCAGCCTTCTTCTCCAGCCCAAAAAAGAAAGACGTTGGTGCATCCATTTCATGAAACTGGGTATACCGAGCCCGAACCAGTGCTCCACGGCCTCTCTCCTCCAGCAAGTTCCTGAGTAACAGTTTATTCCTTTCACAGGTCTGAACAGCATCTGTCCTGTCAGCCCCGCCCTCGCAGCTCTCAGACTCCAAAATTTCCCGTTCCAAAAGTCTCATCCTGGTCCTCAGTGCGCTCGTACTGTGAGCAGTATAAGCCTGACAAAAGTTCTTGATTTGGGCTTTACCGATGTCCCACCATTGGCTGAGCGACCTAAAAAGAGACTTCCTCTCTCTCCAGGCCTCCCAGAAACGGGGGAAAGAGTGCACAAATTGGTGATCCTGTAGTAACTGACTATTAAAGTGCCAATGTGACCGTTTACCCACAGCTGTTGCAACCAAGTAAGCTACAGAGATGAGGTGGTGATCAGACAGAGGAAAGGGAAGAATACAGCTTCGAAAAAACTTGCCTATATTGCTTTTCTGCACATATATTCTATCGAGCCGAGCCCCCGACATCCTGTCACAGGTAGTTTTTATCCAGGTATACTGCCTAACCCCTGGAAACATGTCCCTCCATACATCCACTAAAGCATGATAATTAATAATAGACCTGAGTGCATCTGCCGAGCGTGGGTGCGGCTCTTCATGGTTCCTGTCTATATGATGTTCGAGAGTGCAGTTAAAATCCCCTGCTAAAACAAGATAATAAGAGATAAGAGAGATAATAACAGATTCTGTGATTCCCAGCCATTGGGAGGGGGTTTAACTTTCTCCTTATTCTCCATGGATGACAGCCCTGAATGTCCCCCCTCACCCAGAACATTTTGCTCTGTCTTCTTAGACACAAACAACTTTTTAGAAGCACAACTGCATCTATGAATGTACCCATTTACGATTCTGCAGTTTTGCTAAGGTCTGACCATCTTGCTGTCTTATGTTGATGGTTCATTCTTTGTGTTACTGTGCAAGATGGTTTTTATGCCTCTTATTAAGTAATTTTGGTCATTGCTGTTGCTGAAATCTACTTAAATGTCTTCTTCTTGTATAAGAGACCATCACGGTCACCCTAGAATGTTGTACATATAAGAACTCACACAGCACACTGCAAGTAGAAGAAGTCAGTAGACTTCAGCAAAGGCTTTTTGCTGTGTTGTGTCCCTAGCTGCTCTGTGTCAGTCACAGCAATGAGAAAAATACAGTGGAAATTCCAGATCCCTGGAGGGAAATGGCATGTGGAAGTCATTAACTTGACATTGGTGAGCTTCCATGCTGTGGTCCCTTTTAGCAAGATGGTAACTGGCCATAACTGGTTGAGTGTCAGAAGGATCAGAATATCCCCCCCCAGCCATATACCCATGGACCTCTCCATGGATAGAGTCAAGAACTCTGGGGGGTCTGGAGTGTTTTCCCAGGCTGCAAAGCCCAGAAATAGACACGACGTTTCCTTCCCAAACAGCAACTGCCTCATTTGTCCTCATTATTCTTGTCACAGTTATGAAAACAGTAAAACTGCTCAAGATTCCATTTTCTTTTATAAGTAACTTTCAGTTGAAAGAGGGGAAAGACCCCCATTTATTGTGAAATCTTCGAGTGTGTCAGTGTTGTTACTGCTCTTCTTGTGAACTGCGAACTCACAGGCAGCTGTTGGACACGGAACGATATTTATGCTCCCAGCACAGCAACTGGCTTCCGTTTCCTTAAGGCAGGAAGGTGTTAAACGGCCACACGGAATACGCAGAAGAGGAAAGGGATGTGGCTGGCTGCACAGCGACCTCGCGAATGAAACACTGTGGGGTACTAGCAAGGAGAAGGACCGCAGAGAATGCCGGTGGGCATGTTAAGGAAAGAAACAGGAAGAACAGACTGAGAGAACAAAAGCTCAAAAGCAGAGGAACGGGAATGTCATGCGAAGCTTGGCTGATACCTACTGTAGGATATGATGAGAAGGCAGTAGAGTATGACATCATTAGGCCAGGATGTACAGGGAATGTTTCTCAAAAAGGAAGGTATGGTATGGATAAGGTGTGAAGATGGAGAGCGAGGAAGAGAAGATTCTGGACATGTTGGGTACAGAAGTGAAATCTATGAAGAGATAGATTTTTGCCTTTGTGTGCTCTGGGGCAGTGGCCCTTCCCAGCTGCAGAGGCACTTACTGTAGTAGCAGGTCATGGAGGGGAAGTTGGATGGCATTTTGGGTCCCTGTGTAAAAGATCTCCATTCAGTATTGATCTTAAATATTTACATAAGGGGCAGTGGGAGGCGACATTAATTGCATTGATAAATACACAGATGACTCCTTCAGATTCCCCTGATAGATTCAAGAGTTAGAACCAGTGGCTTGGAGAGTGGGGTGGATACAGAGTCAGCGTTCAGGAGAGATATAGGGCATAGATGTCAGTGTTGGAAAGGAACTGCATTGTTGATGATGTCAGCATCGGTGCCGACCCCCATCCCTTTCCTGGTCCAGCTGGGGTATACAGGGCCTCAGTCTGCCAAGGCCAGATCTCCAGCCTGTTTGGCTACTTTGACAAGATCTCCTGTGTGTTTTTGGGGGCCTCTCAAACTTCAGAAGAAAGGAAGTCTGTCTAGCTATTACAGAACAATACACATTATCCTGAACTTTCCGCCTTCCCCTTGTGACAGTTATCATGCAACAAACTTACCGCAAAAGTTTCTTGTTTAATTTGCTTTCTTGACATAGTTTGACGTTCCCCCTGAGAAATTGCTTGTACAGACAACAGGAGTGTCCACAATAAAGTCAAATGTTAAATTTAGCAGCTTTAATTAGAGGAGGATACTGGGTACTGGGTCACCACACATGCAGACTCACACACACACACACACAGAGATGGCTGTGAGGTAATTGTTTTTTTTTTAAAAAACATTCCGTTGGCTGAAAAGGAAATTATATTGTGCTTGCCGAGTGACTTAATATAACAAAGGACGTGCTTTCTGAGCAAGGAGCCTCATTAAAATACTGACAACCTCTTGGAAACAGCCATCAGCTAGATCTGTCTACTTCCAGCCATCAGCTAGTTCTGTTTACTTCCAGCCATCAGCTAGATCTGTTTACTTCCAGCCATCAGCTAGTTCTGTTTACTTCTAGTCATCAGCTAGTTCTGTCTACTTCCAGCCATCAGCTAGTTCTGTTTACTTCCAGCCATCAGCTAGTTCTGTCTACTTCCATCTGGAAAACATCTCCATAGGAATTTTTATACTGCTCAAGTTCCACACAGAAACATTTTCAGTCCCCAGCTTTATGCATTGCTGTGCCATAGAAAAACACCACCTTCCCGACATGCTTGTAAACATTCTCCGACTAGCTTAGAGTACTGCTGCCCTCGCTCACGCTGTTTTATGCATATGGGCTAAGGGAGAGCTTGATGAAAGCATGTGCTGGTCATTCAGGAAATGCAAATGTGATTCATTGTTTCTTAAAAAATTCTTAAAGGGACATAGAGTGCCTCTGTAGGTAGCTCTGTTACGTTATATCTCTTGGTTGCTGGTTTGGATCCCACCTCCGTTCTGTGTGGGGGGAGTTAGTATGTCATCTCTGTGCTACATGGGTCTTCTACAATCCAAAGACTTGCGGTTAGGCTAATCATTGCCTCTAAATTGCCCATAGTATATGATTTTGTGTATGTACCCTGTGATGGATTAGCATCCCGTCCTGTCTATGATTGGCTGCCCCATAACCCTAAGTCATTGTTTCCCGATCCAGTCCTCGGGGGCCCACAGCCGGACCAGGTTTTTGCTCCCTCCGAGCAGATTGGGAAGTACTGCCCTAAGTGACGGGAAAATGGAAGACAGATGAATAAAACTTTGGTGTGTTTGAGTGAGGTTCTTTTCTAGAAACTGAAGTTATTCTGAAAAATTGCATCAAGGAAGTGCTGGGCACTATTAATATCAGGAAAATATGAAAATTGTTACTAAAATATTAACCACTGTGTGATATGATATTAATAGCCAAACATGCACACTGCTGCAGTTCTATTGCTCATCATGTCCTGTTTGTATTGTGATGGCTGTTTATTTTACGTTGGTCTATATGACTATGCCAGTGTTTGAACATTCTCGGACATTGGAACGTCTTTGGCAGTGTTTGTCAACTCTGTCCTCAGGGATGCACAGACGGTCCACATTTTTGCTCCCTCCCATTTCCCAGCCAGACAGTCTGCAGGTCCCTGAGGACCAGATTGAGAAACTCTTTTGTTTATAGCCCCCCCCCCCCCTCAGCTCAGTATATAATTCTGCCCCATCTTGAAATTTGGCCACAACATCTCTGTCTTGACTGTCAATCTGAAAAAGCAAACAGCTCGACTTGATAAATCTGAGTATTGTGTGCCGTGTCATAAATGCATCTGTAAAGTATCCCTGCCTTCCAGGGATCTCCAGCCAAGTCCTCCATTCTCAAGGCAGGAATCTTTGGGGCCCCCTTTCCTAAAGATCCGCCAGTTCTAAAGCCCATTGGAACACAAGAGGTGAGACTGATACAGCAGAGTCACCGTCACAATCGTCAATCACTAAAATACTGATTATCTGGGGGTGTCTGTTTAAGACCTGCATCTCCATCCCCCAGTCGTGGAGCCTTCAGTAGTTTCCTACCAAAAGAAAGCCATGTCGTTCAAGCTGTTTCACAGGTGTTTGTGTTTGGAATAACCATGACCCATGTTCTGAATGCTTTTTCCTCAGAATAGAAAGCACAGCACTGACATCTAACACGCAAGTCGGTCCCTCATCTTGGTTTCCAAACTGCCAAGCATGTCCCCTCTCTTTTCCTGCTCCTCATAAAGTCCTCCGCTAACTCTAGCTAACTCGTCCTGAGCTGTCAATGGGCTACCCAGCTAACACAGCAGCGTTACTCTTCATAGCTCATGGGTTCAAGTCTGAGTGGTGTATTTGCAGTATATACATGTATCACTTTTATAAATTAATAGTTTTATTATAAAGCAATATTTTTCAACATTAATTGCATTAAAAGGATGTTCATGTAATAATGTTATCATGCTGACAATGGCAGAACCTTTGTTACAATGTATAACATGGAAGAAATGTTTCATTAATGTTACAGTAAGAGTCTTCTCTGCCAACTTTGAGAAGACCTTTAAATAATGATATCTAAAGTTTAAATTTATTTATTTATTATTTTAACCACACATGACTCGACCCACTGAACTCCAGTCAGATGAGAAACTGTTTTAGAGGGCCAAGACTTTGATTCAACCAGCCAACTGAGTACTTTCTGGCTGATTGAAACAAAATCTTGGTCTGGATTTTTACTTTCTGGACCTGAAATGTCCACTTCTGCACATATTGGATCCCTCGATGAATTAAACCACATATTTGCTTCATGCGACACAGTAAAAGTGAGACTGATGTGTGCTGATTTTAGCAGACCCTAACCAGTAGGTCCTGACCAGCAGGCCCTGACCAGTAGGTCCTGACCAGCAGACCCTAACCAGTAGCCCCCTGACCAGTAGGTCCTGACCAGTAGGCCCTGACCAGCAGGCCCTGACCAGTAGGCCCTTCAGAGTAGGCCCTGACCAGTAGGCCCCTGACCAGTAGGCCCTTCCCAGTAGGCCCTTCCCAGCAGGCCCCGGGACCTGCTTTACAGTGCTGTGAGCTCTGAAGTGTATTTTCTTCATCATCACAGAAACCCACGATGCCTTCGCCCCCCCCTCCCAAAGCCAAGAACAGGAGCTCTGCCCTCATTGAGAAACTGCAGGTATGTGTCCTGAAGATGCCTATATACTAAAAAAACTACTTTAGTTCCCAACTCGAGTCTGTGCTGCACGTGAGCTGATGGATGGATGAATGTTTAGTTCATTCTACTTTGTTGAGAACTCTGTCAATGCCGATAACTGTACCACAATGAAGCAAAAGAAGAATGTCGAACCAAAATATCTTCAACATTCATTTATATTTAATTTAGCTCATTAATTACTTTTTCCTGCAATCATAACCATGATTAGTGGCTACATGATGGATGGATGCAGCTAAGCTCATTTTGCCTATTACCAAGCATTCAAAATTTATCTCTGTGTTGTCATCAAAGTATTTTATTCATCTGTTCATCCACCTTTCAGCTATGATCCACACTTCAGAAAATATAAAACGTGAAATAAGTTCACTTGGGTTGTCAGTTATGTCATTAAGTTTTTTTTTTGCCAAAACCACCTTAGCCCTTAGCTTGTCTAAGATATTGTCATTAACATCACACAGCCAGAACTTTTTTTCTGGAGCCAGCATAGCTTGCTGATTGGTTGATGCTTACAGCCATAGCTTGTTGATTGGTTGATGCTTAAAGCCATAGTTTGCTGATTGGTTGACGCTTACAGCCATAGCTTGCTGATTGGTTGATGCTTACAGCCATAGCTTGTTGATTGGTTGACGCTTACAACCATAGCTTGCTGATTGGTTGACCACAAGCACCAGTGCTAGCATCAAGTTACGTGGAAGTGCAGAAAAAAAGATACAGCAGAGCAAAAAATGAGCAGATAGAGTTGTTTTGTACATCAATTAGATTTAATGCACCGGTTAATGCATTTTTTGCATTCGGCATGATAGTTCTGTATCAGAAAATTAGATCGCTAACCAGAATACTTTTTGAAACCTGCCAGCACTTATTAGCGGGATAATGTTACAACGTTTTTTATTCTGTGCTGGCCAAATTTAATAAGAATCATGAACATGTCGCATGAACATGTCGACTTAATTATCCTCCTTTGTTTTGGTGTGGGGGTGCCGATTCGTATGAAATTATGTCTGAAGTTTAGCCTATGAAACTTTTGTATCTCCCGTGCTTATTTAACATAAAGATCCCGGTGCCTGTTGTGTGCTGCGAAAGTAACACAGGAACGTGGCCAGGAGCTTCAAAAGCCCAGGGACTTGTAAACTGGGACCAGGTTCTGGAACTTCAGTGTGCAAACCCCTATGGCTCAATGGCTAGAGTGAAACATTGCTCATTGCTTGTTTGAGTGTAAGAGCCACCTAGTGGCCTGCAGCAGGTACTGTATGGCGTCTAAGCCGTCAGGGATAACCACGGGTGAAACAAGCCAATTAGATCACAGGAATACCAACTTGCTGACACCAATCCGAGGCATCACAGCCTCTCTGAGCTGAGACCAGCTATGGGACAGAAGGGTTGCCATTTCTCTCTGCTGCTTTTCTCACCGGTACAGGTAGGAGCAAACTGCCTTAAACCCACAATACCCAATGCTAGCTGAGATTCACATACATTATGGCTGCTCTCTGTGTGGCTTAGTATCTGCATTGGTAGGGAATTTGTTGAATTTTTCCCAGCATAGAGAGCAGACAAGCAGGCAAACTGTTCTCTGCTCTCTTAAACCCAAGTCCCCACTTTTACGATTTGAATCAGACTGCTGCAGTTTGTAGGCTCACAAGAGCTCTGATTCAGGCCACCAGGACCTAACATGGAAATACAGAAAGTACCATTTATAAAATAAAAAAAACTATATATAGTGGTATATATTTTCTAGTCATAAGCACAATTTTAATTTATATTCAGTTCTCAGTGTAGTACAATACCTTACAAAAAGTTTGATTTAGATTAGCTTTGGGTGTGTAAAATGGCTGTAACTGAGAATTTCTCAAAGCAGTATCCCTGGGCCAGCTGGCGTTTAGCGCTGTTTACCTTACAGAGACTAAGAGCTCCTCTTACCTTCTAGCTCTACAGCCCTGGACAACAATTCAACTGAAATCTATTTTCAAGTAATATATAAGGGGTGGCATTGTGGTTATCACAGGAGTTGGGTAATTCAGGTCCAGAGAGTAAAAGTCCAGACCTGGATTTTGTTTCAACCAACCAGTTGACTCCTCTGTGACTGTGACTCTTTATGCTCAACTGGTTGGTTGAAACAAAACCCTGGTCTGGACTTTCACTCTGTGGACCTGAATTACCCAACCCTGGTTATCACTGGGCTCTCTCACCTGGACGGTTGAGGTTTGAAATCCCAATGCCAAAAGCGCTGCCTGTATTTCCTCCATGTACTCTGGTTTCCTTCTGCAGTCCAAACTTGAGAAGGTGTTTAAGTAAAATAGTGTCTCTAAATTGCTCATAATTAGAGGTGGAAACCTCAGGTCCAGAAAGTATTAAATCCAGACCAAGATTTTGTTCCAGCCAACCAGCTGAGTACTGTTTGACTGTGACTCTTTAAATTTGTACTTTCTGAACTGAACTTTTCACCTCTGTTCATTATCCCAAAGTTTCATCTAAGGATTAATGTCTATCTACCTGTGTGTCCCCCACCCTATGTCCTGTGTTGAGACCCTATACTGGTTAAGTGGTTTTTATAGACAGATGGGATTTTTTTGTATCTTGACCAACAGTAAGGGAATTTTATCTCCTTTTTTTCTGCTCAGGCCAACCTTGTGCTGTCCCCACCGTCGCTGTCGCTTCCAGTCCGAAGTCCCGAAGGCAGATTGCACCCCAGACCCCCCTCTGCAAACCCCCCCAGCCCGGAGAACACGCCCGGCACCTTTGAGAGGCCTGCAGAGGGCACTGTGCTGCCCAGTTTCAACAAGGTGAGAAGCCGCATACAGCTTTGTCAGCATCAGAGCTGAATGTTGTAATTCACTGACCTAGTTTGTACATAGAATGAACTTTGAAGTGGATTGTGTGGTTTGGAGGGAATGATGTGAGGTGTATCATTTCAAAGCCCCTTGTTGAAATAACAGCTACCTGGAGTGGCCTATTGCCTTTTATAGGTACCCTGTAAGCCCTCGGTAAGCCTGCCCTGCCTCAGTGGTGCCTGATCATGTGACATCAGTGGTTTGGCACATAATCTCCTTAACCTAGTTTGCCTCCTGTTGCAATGGCTGCCTGACCGCAGAGCCTGCAGTCACCTTGTGACATCGCTCTCACATGTGCACACACTGCAGTTATTAGTCACATGGCCAGCTTGACCTCTCATGTCTTTTTATGTCATTTATAAATTATTATAAGTTTTACTGAGGTTTCTGTGTATATACTGTGTTCTAATAACTGACTCTACGGCTGTTGTCGTTAATGACTGTTTTGTCATGCGTTCTTCGCTCACCTTCCCCAGCATACTTAACTAATTCCTGGCTGCATGGTCCTAGGGACGCCCCCGGCACTCAATGAAGCGACGTCCCCCCACCAGGCAGCACAGGAAGTCTTACATAGAAGAGCAGGACACAGAAAGCGGGGCATCCTCATTTCAGCAGAATAGCGAGGAAGAGGAGCCGCCCAGGGCCCCTTTGGAGAACTCGCTAGAGACTGCTGAGGCCGATGGCTCTGCATCTACTGCCAAAGCCGAAATCGATGGGGTCAGTCCGGGGGTCCAAGACGAAGGTTCTGTCTGTCCGACAGAAAGCAGAGAGAAGGAAGAGGTCGTCCCAGATGGCGATTATGAGAAGATTCCGGCAGAGATCCACTCGGCTAGTACCCATGAGCCTGAGCTATGGACATGCCCAGGAGTATTACCAGAACAGATAGTGAGTGTTAGTTTTTCATCGTGTGCTTATTTCATGCCGTACATCTGCACAACCTGCAGATTGTCACTTAGCTACTGGATTATTATATCATATTAAAATAACATTCTATAAGTGAATAATTACATCACACTATAAATAAAAAGTTATGTTATTTTAAAAGACATCGCACCTTATGCATGTAATTTAATTGGGAAATCCCAGAATAGCGTTGTTTTTTTTTAAATACTGTGTACCACAGTAAAATGACTGGACAGTATGACCACATTGAAAATCAGATACCAGCCAAACCTAGTGCTGTTGGGGGGGGGGGTTAGGGTGTTGTGGAGAGGATGTGGTAAAATTTTCCGACCAGGTGGGGCGGGGTTGTTGCTAATTATACTGCTGTTGAATAGAGGGATGTCAGATTTGTGGGACACCGCGCATCATCCGCGGGTGTCAGTTGGCTGCTGTCAATCACTGGGAGCTTCTAGGAGAGGCGGTGCACCTGGTTTAAGCTTCAGTAGCATTAGGGTGAATTATATCACTGTTAATAAAGTGATGCTTCTCTTAAGAAAGCATATTTTACTGAGCCTGCTTGAAAAATGAATGTCTCCGTCTGAAGTAATATGAGAAATCTTCCTTCTTTCTGTGTTTTTGTTTTTGTTAGTAACTTGTTAATATCCCTTTTGTATTTTGTAGGAGAACCAGCCAAAAAGCCTTGGAGATTGATATGGATAATAGGAGTATTGTTTGGAGGAAACCAAGTCCTCCCTCACCAGCCTGGCTGTGCTCATCCTGACCTGCTCACCCCAGGAAAAGCAGAGCAGAAGGGGGACATTTTGGGCAATGACTAATCATTTGATTAATAGTTTATGTTCCCGCATCTCATATATAATATTTGTTTTATTTTTAGTGGATTCCAAAATGGCACTGAAAGTTTTGAAGATAAAACTAATTTAAGGAACCTTCCAACACATTTCAGGGAATTCCGTCAGAAAACACTGCTGTTCAGTGTATCCTGATTATTACTGGAGCGAATCAGTATTCTGTGTGATTAATGTAGGGTTTTAAGTGTTAAAACAATGAGAGTTGGGCTTTAGGGATAGAGTTTGATTTAAATACAAAAAAAGAGTCAGATGTCCTGAAGCTCTCAAAATGGAGACCTAGACCGAAGGTAACTTTCCAAAAAAGCTGAAAATGTTCTCAAGGAATGTTTACCATTGGTTGGACACAAGGGCGTAACTTTGGCTGGAACATTGGGGGGGTTGAGATCTCCACCCATTACAGGGGAAACATGATTATTGCGGGGGTTGTATTAGCTGGTTTTGGTTTATTGGAAGGGGCTACAACCCCCCCATCCCCCCTGTAATTTACGCCCATGCTTGGACACAATATTTTGATAAGATCACAAAGCTACAGCACAGTTGTCCCAGCAGAGAGCAGTAGGTCTCTATTCTCCCTCCTGTAAGTTATATTCTTAAGCCAGGATACTTGCATTGTGAACTTCACTTCCCCTACCAAATGGTACATGAAAGGGGAGCCCCCTGCTGGACATTCTTACCATTTTCAAGGGGGCAAATAGGTTTCTCTACCAAATTGACATCAATGACATCAATGACACCTGTAGGATTGCTGTCAGTCTCTTACACCGAACACATTAAACCCCAATAGAAAATCGCCTCTTTGAACGGCATAATATCTGAACAAAAAAAAGCAGAGTATTTGAAATGTGAATCATTATTTAAGCTGCTCTGTTTTGGTGCCACCCTGTTCACACTCCATAGCTTGTGGAGCTCGGGTTTGGTGTGGCAAAGCTGTCAGAGCACAGCTGGTCTCACAAGTATCAGGGTTGCCAGCTCTCACACACCTGGCGTGACACTCGTGCTTTCAGACTCTCATGCCCGCGCAAGAAATCTTACGGCAAATCTATAATTATTCCATTATAAACATAAACTTAGAACATCAAAAGCGTTGGGGGCAGTTTGCAAACCCTACAGACCTTTTACAAGGTAATAAAACTATTACATGTAAATGTGTGAGAACATGTGTGCAGACTTGTCTCGAAAATCCCACTCCTGCCAACTGACCAAAGTTGGCAACCCTGAAATATGAAATGATCTTCCCCTCCAATGAGCAGCATATGGAGAGCCGTGGCCCTGCTGGTGTGCTTCTCTGAACTGGCAGCAATCGGCAGCCGGTGCCTTCCAGCAGGGCACCAGAATTACCTGCGATACTATGCGCATCCATTTCGCCATATGGTGGCTCTAAGTCATGCTGCCAAAGGTCATGACCGGAGGAAGTCTTCGTTAACAGCTTCATGAAGTGCATTTCAACTGGCAGGTGTACAGGTGTATGATTAGATTCTTCAAAACGTGTTGGGATCGGGGGAACACACACTATTTGGGACCAGGAGCATGTAAAAACATGCCACATACCTTACACAACAATAAATAACATCACATTTTCATTTAACTATATTCAAAAGTAGAACATATAGAAAATTGAAGGAATGGAAAATTTAAATATTTCAGTAACATTCTACCACTAGGGGGCGGAAGCGTTATATTTGATTGTGGCGAGTCATATAATGTACGTTTTCCCACAGTTAGGAGCAGAATAGACTATTAGGAATATGTCGAAATATATTTACAGGAAGTGGTATTGTTTCTTATATCTCTTACTGCATAGTGCACATAAAAGTGTGTTAGAAAGGAACGCGAAAGCAAAACAAAAAGATATTGACTTTGTGGTATAATTAAACGCAGGGGCGTAGGAAACAGGCGGCCCGGGGGGTACATGTACCCCCCCCCAAAAATTTGGCTTCATTCCTCCCCCCTAAAAACAGACTTTTGCATTTAAGGTATTGTCTCCCCC